CGGCTGCCCCCCCCCATGGGTGCTGCCCCGCCCCAGGTCGCCAACCAGGAACCCAGGCTGGGGCTGCCGTCCAGGGCAGACTCGGGCTCGAACCCTGTGCCTGCCATGACTGTTGTAATTAGCGCGCGCCAAGTGTGGGCAGATCGAGCCTTCGCGCTCCTGCAGCGGGGCCAGCGTCTTGCACAGGATGGTGAGCGAGAAGCCCCGCCAGACGGGCCGGCCCATCACAGCCAGGCCTGTGGGGGAGCCTGGGGCCTGGGGGTTGGACGGGCGGCGTTGGGGGCTGGGCCCTGAGGTTAGCGATGGGGACACCGCGCTTCCTTTGGCGAGTGTCGTGTTGCACAAAGCCTTGCAAGTTCCCGTCTGGGTGCCGAGTAGAGGTCTCCTGAGAGAGCCGCAGCGGCCGACACCATGTGGAGGTTAATGTTCAGAAGCAGAAAGTTCCCAGGCCTGGTGGGTGCCCGTGTGCCCGTGTGCCCGCAGCTGCCACCGCTCCTGCCCCACCTCCTGACTTACAGGCTCTCTCCGCCTTCTGCCTCCACAGGGCCAGTGTGACGCCGCCTCGCGGGAGCCGCCGGCCAAACCTGCCCAGGTAAGACGCCCTCCGGGGGTTACTTTTCTCTGCTGAGAAAGTTAGACGTCAAGGCTTCTCTCCGTGTGTTTGGTTTCTACTCTGCCCGAGGCCCGGCAGCCGCTGTGCGCGCTCTGGGAAGAGTGGGGCCGACACAGCGCAGGTTGAGCTGCTTGCGGTCCGGGCGCTGCTGCTGACACGAAGCCACGGGGTCTCAAACGTCAGGAACCATCCTGTTCAGAGTCTGTGCGCCCCCAGGTCATCGACTGCTGCTGGTCTCGTGCCGTAAACCTTATCTGTATGCAGCCCCATAAAAAGTCCAGTGGCACTGCAGGGTCCATTTTCTTTCTTCAAAGCTTAGTCTGGCTTCACCCATATTTCAAATCAATTGAACCTGAAAAGGAGCGAAAATTAAGCGAGTTATCAGCTGTTAAAGTGTGTATGCCTTTTGGGGGACGCCCTGTCTATAACGCTATGTGCCGTGTTCTTTAAAATACCTATTGGATGCTCTTCAAACAGCGAGAGAGACGTGAGAGTGAGACAAAGCTGCGCCTGCCCGTCCCCAGGTGGCCCCCAGGTGGCGGGTGGGGGCCCCCAGGTGGCAGCTGGTGGCCCGCCAGCTGGACCAGCCTCCTGCGTGGGAAGTCCAGGTTCCCATCGGGAGTTTTTCCAGGAGTTGGGCCTAGAATGGACCCCTGGAGATGGAGGTAGATTTCTGGAAGTATTTCAAGCAGCTGTGTGGGTTGAATGGTAACATTATAGAGAAGAAGTTTTATAAGGTAGTTTTTGGGGTGTTTCCTTTCTCCGGCTCCCACAGTCCGTGGGCAGCGTGCTACCTGCACGGGGGACACGGTGGCCGCGGGGACTGCCTGGCTGAATGTCATGGCAGGTGTGGCAGGTACGCGGTCCCGGTCACGCATGGTTAGTGTGTGAACGCACGAACCTGCCTCTGGTTCATACTAAACAGCAACTCACCTCACTTTCTGTGTGTTTGGCAGCTTCCTAGTAGCTCCACATCGCCGGCCGGGGAAGGCGGGGGCCGCACGGGGACGCCATGGGCTCCTTGGCCACTCGCCGTGGGCTTTGAGTCCCAAGGGCTGCGGAGTCCGGCCCAGACGTGACCACACAGGATGTGCCGCTGCCTGCCTGGACTCGTGTGTGTGTGTGTGTGTGTGTGTGTGTGTGTGTGTGTGTATGTGTGTGTGTGTGTGTGTGTGTGTGTGTTGATGTCGTTTTAATTCTTAGTAATTTGTGAAGCAATCTGTTCTTTTGTAAGATTCCTTGACATGCAAATAGGAGAACTCAAACGAACCATGGAGAGTGGATTAAGCTGATTGAGTCACAGCCAGCTTCCCGACGAGGGGTTTGAAATGGGGCGTGAGCGGGGCTCTCCTAACTGACCCTTGTCCCTCCTCCTGGACCTTCCGAGCCTTCGCTGCCCCTGGAGGGGCGACTCCTGTTTCTTTGTCTCTTCCGCCCCCTCTGCCCTCGGCTGTGCGCCCCGAGCCTGGGACATGGTCGCCAGAGATGTCTTTTGTGTCCTGATGGTGTGGACGATGTGAGGGTGACCAGCAACATTAGAAAATGGGTCAAGTGCGGGGCTACGATGCAGAACCCTGGTGCCCGTCTGTTTTCGGGGACAAGTGCCATGACGCTGCTCGCTCAGCTCCCTGGCCAGGCCCCTGCGTCCCTCACACCACGGTGACTCGCCGTGACTCGCCGTGACTCGCCATGACTCGCTGACGGTCTGTGGGCCGGGATGGCGGGGCGAGACGCTTCCCCCTCGGACCATGGGCATGGGAACAAGCCCCGAGGGCTCCCTGGCGGAGGGGACAGGCACAGGGGCTGCAGTGGGCCACGGGGTGTGGCGGACTCTCCATGGGGCAGGTGGGGAGCCCAGGGAAGGTTCCAGAACAGGTGTTAGCAGAAGGAGACGCCCACCCACAACCTCTGAGCTCTTCTTCTTTTGTCCTTGAATAGTCACAGAAGCGGAATGCGTGTCGTTCCTGCATTACTTTAATCGGCGCCGTCGCTCCGCCTGTGGGGAGCCCACCCATTAGAAACCAGCTACGTTTCGGGGGCAGGTTGGAGCCAGAAGCTCCCTGCGATGGAGGCCAGACCTTTACGTTGACTCGTTTAGCTGAGGAAAAGCGAACATCACGGTCAGAGTAAAAGGTCGACCCGGTTTTGGCAGATTCAGCTGTCGCCCTTCCCAGCTTCCAACCCAGACAGATGCAACCACAGAAAACTCCCCGAGGCTCTTCGAGTCCTAAGGTCACAGGAGGTGTTATTTCCTCCTCCTACATGTTCATAATTTACAGAGAGCTAAACCGCTAACTTCGATTATTGTAAGAAATTGACGAGTGAGCGCTCCACTCCTCCTAAAGGTACCGACGTGACTGCAATAGAGGGTGACTGTGGAGGGCAGGGGCCTCGGGTTTAGTAGCCGGTGTCCACCCTCTTAGACAACGTCAGCCACGGAAGGCGACCTTCGTGCCCTCGGTGACCACAGCGCGAAAAGGAGCAGTCAGCTCACGAGTTGACAGGTCGCTGGCAGTGTGAAAGACGTTGTCATGGCAACAATACACCCAAGCCCGGGGGGACTTTCTGTCTGTTTGTGACCCTGTGACTCTCATGTCGTAGCCAGAGCCATTGACACTGACCCCGGTGACCCGGGAGGGTGACCCGGAGGCAGGAAGCGCTCTGCTCCCTGTGGACGGTGGGCACTCCCCTGTCACCGAGAGGAGCTGTGATCATGGCCCATCCCCACCCCCACCCCACCCCTGCCCTGTGGTCGCTGTTGCTCACAGACCAGGATGTGCCGGGCACGGGGAACTGAGTCGTCTGCCCGGGTCGGTCACCGCACAGCCGTGCTTGGCCTCGTGTCCTTTTTCTTTTTAATTCATATATTTTTATTGATTTCAGAGAAGAAGGGAGGGGGAGGGAGAGAAACATCCATGATGAGAGAGAATCATGGATCGGCTGCCTCCTGCACGCCCCCCACTGGGCTTGTGTCCTGCCCGGGAATCGACATTGACCTCCTGGTTCAACCACTGAGCCACGTTGGCCGGGCAGCCTCGGACCTTTCAAACAAGTAGGAGATGCGTTTGCATTCTCGTCTGGGGTGCCGCGTGGCGCCCCACCCTCCCTCCAGGGTGGCAGCATTTTCTAAGTGACGGCCTTGTGGGGAGTGAGCTGTGGGGAGTTCTGGCTGAAAGTTAAACGAAGCTGGCGTTGCTCCGTGAGCAGGCTCTATGCCCCTCTGGGGGGTCTAAGGGGGAGGAAACAGCTTCTGGTCGGGGTTCTTTCTCGGCCGCATGGCGTGAGCACTTGGTTCTGTCCCCGGAGGTGGGTGCCCCCCGACAGCAGCGCAGCCCCTCCCCCAGGGGCCGCTTCCAACACGATTCCTTTCTGGGATTGTTGGGAGATGAGTGAGCCCAGATTGTCATGACAATCTCTCCTGCATCACAGAAGAGGCACGCTCCTGCCGGCGTCACCATGGCAACATCCAGTCCACGTGCTCACATGTACCTGCACTTAAATCCCATTAAAGGGAAAGGTTTCTATGGCGAAGCTGCCGGATCTGACACGCCGCCAGCCAGCCAGGGCCCGGGCCCGTCCGGGCTGCCGAGGCCTTTCCCAAGCCCGGCCCGGCCAAGGCCTTTCGGTCCCAGGGAGCAAGCCTGGGGCGGGGGGGTCACGGAAGACTGCGCGCCTCTGACCGCAGGGCCACCCGCACAGTTCGCCGCCCTCCCGCTCTCCGTCCCGTGCACAGGGCTCCAGGCAGGGAGCGAGCGTGGCCAGGGAGCGGGCGTTTGCCGGGATGTGGGCAGCGTGGAGCTGTGGGGAAGAAGACGAATTAGGGTGAACTTTCCGAGCTTTCCCGGGGCTTGTGCTCATCCTGCCCGGACAGTCTCCCGGGAGAAAGACCAGCCTCGGACTCCCGGGCGGCCAGGACCAGGCCAAGAGGGAGGCCCCGCTGGGCGCCTGCGGTGGGAGAGGCGCTCGTTGCTCGTGTGCAGCTCCGGGATTTCTCCCGGTCGGTGGGAGACCAGATAGACGTGCCCTTAGGGACCATTTAAACCATTTCTCAAGGAGCCTGAGTTCTATTTTGTGCGAAAAATAACCGAAGGAAATGTCTGTGCCCCCAGGAAGCGCACTCTTGTGTCTCCAGAGAGCCATCCCCAGGCGACCGGCGTGGGGGACTGTGGACGCCCCCGCGAGATGAGCCCCTTCCCCCGGGCTCAGGGGGTTGCAGAGTGACAGCGAGCCCCCGGGAGTCCGGGATGATCACACCCACAGAGGAACTTAGTAATAAACTCTTTAAGCCTCAAGCAAGCCTGGATACTGCGTTCTTGGCTAAATCAAAAACTATTAAAATATTAAAACAAAATATTCAGGAAGCTACCACAAGGCCTAAGTTTTAAAGAAAATCTTTTACACCAGAGGCCTGGTACAGACTCGTGCACCGGTGGGGTCCCTGGGCCTGGCCCACGGGGATCGGGCCGAAACCGGCTCTCTGACATCCCCTGAGGGGTCCCCGATTGCGAGAGGGCGGTTCTCGGGTGACGCACCCCAGAATCGGG